TCAACCCTGAGCTGGTGAGATTTGAACCGCTGACCTGCTGATCTAGCAGTAGCCTGCAGTGCTGCATTTAACCACTACACCACCTTGGCTCTTTTAGAATGCTATAAAGGACTGTGAAGCAGTGTATAATTCTACTTGCTATTGCTATTTCTCCATGATGGCAACTGACTTGCGGAATTCCTTCCTCTTCAATGCCAGTGTGATCTTTTAAGTTTCTTTATTACATTGCCTTTACAGAGCCATTATTTTTTTCCTTTTAATTGTTTTATTCCTTTGGAATCTTTGAAAAAAGAATAAAACTATAAATTATTTGGAATTATTTATAATATGTACAGAAATATATAAAGGAATAATAGAAATTTGATATTGTTCTATTTTAAGAAAAGCCTGGTGCATGTTCTGCATGGATAATGAAAATTAAAAAGTGCCACTACTATTCCTTACACCTGGGATTATTTCTGCAGCCAAAATTGTTAAAAAAAACATAAATGAAAAATCAGGTGGATCTGCTCCCTACGTTGCAAGAACTGGATCCTTGTTTAGGTTTTTTTTTCACATGTTAACATTTCACTTGGAGATTCATCATATTGTTTCAGTTATAATTTAATGACATTTCTTGAAAAAGCAGGGTCAGTTCTTGAACTTCCAAACGAGCTTGTTAGATATCAGACCGAGTTTAATTTCTGTTTGTTTTGCTGTTATGGTATAGGTACTACTGGTGTTTACATAGTTTTGTTAATGAGCATGAAGTATTTTTGTGATAGATTGATATGGGGCTTGGGAATATAAAGTAAACTTACATGTAGATTTCTTAGAAGAATATGGTAATTTGCAGTAGATCGGAGAAAGAAGCTCATAATACATTCAGAATTCTTTAATTCTTTATGTGTTTCTTTTGCCCCAGGCTCTGGTTGCTGGAACTTGGTATTCTGGTACCAAATATGAATTTTATAAGCCTGTTTTCTCCCTATGATATATGCAATGTATTTTCCTTAGTTGTTTGGCCTGCATAAGAGTTAAAAATCTATTTGTGTTAATGAAAGAGGAAGTTGCTTGTGATCTAGATATTTATCATACTTCTAATCCTTACATGGGACTTTAGATCAGTGATCTAAAGTCTAAATGGTTTTCAAGCATTATCGATATGAAACTATCTGTTGCTGAAAATGCAAGGGTAGTTCCTTGCTAACTAGAAAAACTGGTGTGGTTGCATTCTTGTTGAACTCACAGTCGTATTACATGTCTGTTTTACTAGATCTTCCTTCATAAAGTTATATAAAGGTCTCGCCACTCAGTGTCCCAGCAGCGGACAAGCATCATCTCCAACACCAAGTGCAGCTTCCTTTCACAATAGTGGAATCCATTCTGAAGAGACAGTGCATCCATTCCCATCAGCCTCTGTTTCTGGAACAACTGCTATGTGAGTACAAAGATAGCATCAGAAGATACTGATTCAGAAATGTACATTATAGCATCATCTTCAGCTTCTTTATTCTTATCTACTCTTATGTTTTGCAAACTTTTTGGTGCAATATATTTCACAATTCTTTCAGATTTTGTTCACATAGATAACTCAATCTAAGATAGTAAAAAGAAATATACATTATTTAATAATATACATTATTATTATTTAAGGAGCCGAGGTGGCACAGTGGTTAGGGTGCAGTACTGCAGGCCACTTCACCTGACTGTTATCTGCAGTTCAGCGGTTCTAATCTCACCGGCTCA